TCTCTCTCTCTCTCTCTCTCTCTCTCTCTCTCTCTCTCTCTCTCTCTCCCTAAAATAAAAAAACAGTAAAATAAATCCCTAAACAAACAGTAAAAAAAAATAAAAAAAAAAAAAAATGGTGTGCGCACCCGGCGCACCTGCGCCCCGCCAGCGCGCACCCCCCAGCGCACCAGCGCGCAGCGCACCCGGGTGCGCGCGCACCTCGGGTCCGCGCACCGCACAGCGCGCGGCGCACCGCGCAGCGCACAGGGTCTGTGCGCCGCAAGTATGCTCTAGACCCTATAAACCCTGAGCCCTCATTAACCTCTATAAACCTCGCTCCGCACCCTCATCCTAGCCCCTTGAGCCTAAACTTTGGACACTCAGCCATAATGAGTCATGGACCCTCAACCATAAATGTCTTAGGATCCTAACCCATGGCTTAATATTATAAACTGTAAATGACTTAACCAGCGGACATAAGTCCAAATGTAGGCTTCAATGAGCAGGTCATGTCACTTTACTCGTTGATATGCGGAAAGTGTTTCACCGGCTGACAACCTTTGGTATTTGTGACAAATCAGGGAACCCTAAACCCAACTTCTTTTATTTCCAAGATCCACAGAGAAACTTTGTGTCAGTTATCTCCGAACTTAACATCCTAAACCATGGGTTAGGGTCCTACACCATAAATGACGTGGGATCCTAAACCATAAAGGAGTTAAGATCCTAACCCAGAAATGACGTAAGGTTCTAATCCACAGCTTAGGATCGCAAACCACAAAAGGACTAAGGATCCTAATCCATAAAAACACTACGAGTCCTAACCTGTTTGTGGGAGAGTACCCTCTTCACCCAAATAAAACACCCGATCATTATAGCTGTATTTGGCACAACATTTAGTCTAGGTACAATGATAATGATGGGGCGTTTTATTCGGGCAATGGCGGTAGAAGGGACAAAGTTATCCTTCAATCCACCCATACGAGTTGCGGGTTCTCAAGTTTGTGGCTATCAACTTGGTTGGCTATGGTCACCATATTTTTTAGTAGGACTAACCTGCCTATGGCGATAATGATGGGTGCTATCCAATGTTGCTGCTGGGGCTGTTGCTGCTGCTGCTGCTGCTGCTGCTGCTGCTGATGCTGATGCTGATGCTGCTGCTGATGATAATGATGATGTGAGGATGAGGATGAGGATGATGATGTGTTACACCCCCTGCTTGTGTTCACACACAGGTTTGTGGGTGTGGACCTGCTGCAGGGCATTCCCAATCATCGGCACCGGAAGGAAACCGGCTCTTCTCCTATGATGGTGAGCAGTGCAAAAGCCAAAATTTGTCTGTAGTGGTTTGCTTTTAAGGCGGAATGGCTCAAAATCTATCCCCGGTCGGCGGAACACCAGCGACCTGCACGGGTGCCATGCCGGGCTCCCCTGGTAGCCTATATAACATAGGATTATGGATATGGATATGGTCATCCATGTCAACTTGTCAATTTTCATCAATGTCAAATTTGTCGATTTTGAATTTGGTAAAATTTTTGATATGCCCCTCAAAGTTCGATTTATTTGCAGCGTGCCGCTTTAATGGCCGACTTACCCTGCAGTGCCCCTCTGAGAGAGATTGAAGTTTCTGAAAAACCCCTGGTGTCGTTTGGGCCTGAAATATGTTCAACATACCCCTACCGGTACCGCTTCCAAATTTTTAGTATGCCCCGGTAGCTGCTCTCCCAGAGCCAGGGGAAAGATCGCGTGTGCCACCAACGGCCACAGGGGCATGCTGGAAAGTTGCTACTCTCACAGAGAGGGGCCTGCAGGAAAGTTCAGAGGCCCCAGGAGCACAGCAGGGTAAGTCGGCCGTCAGAGGGGCAGGTTGCAAATTAATTGAACTGTCAGGGGCATATCGAAAATTTCCCCTTTGAATTTTCATCAATGTCAAATTTGTCAATTTTCATCAATGTCAAATTTGTCAATTTCGTCATCCATCATTGAAAACCGATTCATATGGTAAATCACAGTTTAGACTTTAAACTCTAATAAAGTCAACTCTAGAGTCTAGAGTTGAAATCATTTGAAAACTATAGGATTCATATGATCTCAAGTCAAATCCTAGTAGATGGCAGTAGTTCTTAAGTGGTTTGGATTTCATTGAGATTTAGATTAGTACTGAGCTGCCAAATGTCATGTATGCAGCCATTTGAGGGCGGAGGAGGCTTGCTACAGCCAAATACAATTCCAGATCTGTATTATTTCTCAGCTATCTCTGTATGTGACTTTGAGCAAGGGACGCTGGACCCGTTTTCCAGCAGGTGCTGCTCCCTGCCAATAGATCGGAACCAACAGATGGGGGGGGCTAGTGGTGGGGGCTAGTATCAGCATCACTAGCAGGGCCAACTTGTGCCTTAAATCACCACGGTGGGCCTGGGGGCGGGGGCCCCAGCCAAGTTGAGAAGCCAAATGAGCCTCTCCTAAAAGTTAGGGGACTCGCCCCACGACGGGCCTGGGGGCGGGCGGGAAATTTTTTTGTCCCACGCTGCAGGGTGGGCACTGGCGCCATGTATGTGACTTTGAGCAAGGGACGCTGGACGCGTTTTCCAGCAGGTGCTGCTCCCCGCCAATAGATCGGAGCCAACAGATGGCTTGCTAGTGGTGGGGGCTAGTATCAGCATCACTAGCAGGGCCAACTTGTGCCTTAAACCACCACAGCGGGTCTGGGGGCGGGGGCCCCAGCCAAGTTGAGAAGTCAAATGAGCCTGTCCTAAAAGTTAGGGGACTCACCCCACGGGGGGCCTGGGGGCGGGCAGGGAATTTTTTTGTCCCACGCTGCAGGGTGGACACTGGCACCGTGCGATACAGGAAAAAAATGTCGCCCGCCCTCAGACCCACCGTTGGGCAAGTCCCCTAACTTTCAGGAGAGGCTCATTTGGCTTCGTCAGATGTACTGGTGGTGTAAAAAAAAAAAAAAAAAAAACAGATCTATATGAGTATATATTATGTAATGATCTCAAGTCAAATCCTAGTTAATTGCTTCAAGTCATAAGTGAATAATTTGGCTTTCCATAAAAAGAAATAAATCAAGACTTCTTTTATAAAGTGAGAAAAACTGCATGCTCGTCCTCAACAGCCCAACTTCATGCGAGGTAATTTCGTACAGGCCCAAACTCGCAGTGAATGTCTATGCAGATCCATTCGCAAACTTGAAAGTAAGAATTTAGTATTTACTGAGCACGTGGTCCTCAACATGCCGCCTCGTCTTCACAAATGCCTTTGCTGCATCATTTTGTGTGCATTTAGTCCCAATACTTCACTTTGGTGGTAGTGGTCCCCCCAATACACCTTGCATTCTATGTGTATGAGCCAGGGTTTTGTTTAATTGTTTTTGCCTCTTTTGCTTTGTTGTTGTCTGTGTGCCAATGGTTGGCCAATGGTGACCAAATTTATAAATTGTAGGACCATTGTGGGACCAAATTTATCAATACGTCAGGGATGATGATGATGATGATGATGATGATGATGATGATGACGAGGAGGAGGAGGAGGAGGAGGAGGAGGACGATTATTGATCCCAACGATTATGATGATTATCGATTGGTCAATGCTGCTGCTGCTGATGATGTGCAGAATGATGATGATGATGATGATGATGATGATGATGATGATGATGATGATGTGCACAATGATGATGATGAGGAGGAGGAAGAGGAGGAGGAGGAGGAGGAGGAGGACGAGGACGAGGACGAGGACGAGGACGAGGATCACGAGGATCAGGAGGACGAGGATGATTATCCATGGTCAGTGGTGATGATGATTTTACTAGAGACCCACACCTTGGCACCGAAGATTCCATAAGGAGTAGATGCTTGTGCCTGAGCATAATCTATTTTATCTGAGAATGACACATGCAAATGATGCGCATGCCGACCACCTGTCAATGATGATGACAATGATAATGACAACGATGATGACGACGGTGATGACGCCTATGACGACGGCGATGATGACAATGATGACGACGATGATGACGATGATGACAATGATGACGACGATGATGACGATGATGAGGATGATGAGGATGATAAGGATAAGGATGATGACGATCATCATGCAGATGATGATAATGATGATGATGATGACGATGATGAAGATGATATAATGATGACGTCAAACAGGATAATGACGATGATAATGATGACAACAATGATGACGATGAATGAACGAATGCATGTTTTTTGTTTTCCAGAGGATATGATGGCAGAGATGGGACCTCGGATTGCACAGGGACTCCACATCCAGTCAATTGAAGTTCCTTTGGTAAGTTACCAATCCCCCATTGGATGTGATTGGGGACCGAAGTTCTGGCATCCGCCCTCCTCCACCCCCCTCACCCCCCATGCACTTCCCCACCCCCCATTCCCCCACCAGTTACACCCCATAACTAAACAATGAGCGCCATCAGATCATTTCTCAAACATATCAACGCGTTGCTGAACCTATTTAGAAACCCCTCGTATGCCACCCCCCTCTCTTCACTAGAAACCCCTCGTTTGCCACCCTCCCTTCCTGACTAGCAACCCCTTGTTTGCCGACCTAGTCAGAACCCCCTCGTTTTTCCCCCTACCCCTTCTCACTAGAAGCCTGTTTGCCACCCTTCCCTCCTGTCTAGTGAAAAAATGAAGGGAAGAAAAGAAAAGGAGGGCGGCAAACAGGTCATGCATGCAAGTCAAAAAAGGAAAAAAAACAAACAAAGAAAGGGGAAAAAAAACGGAAATGTCATGCATGCAAGTGAAATCGACTTGTACACAAGTATCAGGTGTTACAGAAAGAA